TCTGATAAGTGAGACAATTTATTTATAACAATGGCGACAGCGAAGCACACATTAATGCTAATGTGGTCGCACGACTTCCCTCACGATTTGAAGTTTGAAACTGGTTTTCTGTTGAAATTCGTCCTAATTTGCCTGTTCCGATTTTAGTTGAAAATGAGCACTTGCAAATTTGGCAATTACTGACTGCGTTGCGTGCTTTTTTGGAGTTAAAACACAGCCATTTACACATTGATTCTATTTTGAATATTAAAGCAGAGAAAACCCCGCAACATTTTAATGCGAGTTTGTTTGTTACTATTTGGGTTGCTGTCATTGGTTCTTTTTTGACAATTGACGCGCGAATGGGGCGTGTAATGAAAAGGGGCGTTTTACAAAATACAAAGCCTTGCTTGCAGGCCCACTATTCTTCCCTTGGGCCTGCACGCGGGCTATTCTCTCACTAGTTACTTTGTCTTTGCTGTATTTGCAGTTAAGAAGAGGACTTCCAAGCTAAGAGTCTGAAAATGAGGGAATTGTTTGGCCAACGTGACTATCCCACCTCTCTATTTGGTACTATCTTTTCGAATACCTCCTGAATTCCCCGATCTGAGATTCTCATAGACCCTGTATCTAACGTCACAGGTTTTAACTTAATTCAGTGGAAATTTATATACATTTATTAGACCTATAACCAGGAACAGCTGCCATAAGTGCAACTTTAGGTTCCTGATAGAAATCGTACCTGCGGCCTTGCGATTCTGGTGTAACGCTCGAACAATTGAGCTAAAGAGGCCAGTTGTCGAGCTGTAACCACAAGTTCATGTATATATACAGTATATAGGGTACTGCCATGTTTAGGTTATGGGTAAATATCGAGATTTTGTTGGCATCTCACTCGATTCAATAATAGTTAAGGGTCTTGTAGATGGAATTATCGAGTGGAAATTTATATAGTATACATTTATTAGCTTATTACTTATTTTTATTTCTCAAGGATTTATACAAAAGGTTAATTTATTTTAATTTGCAACGTTTCGGACATTTTAAATGTCCGTCTTCAGGCGACAATTGTTGTTAATGTTATCATGGATTGTAAAATAACTGGATAGGAAACTTCCTGACGTCACAGTCTAAACCTAGTTGCAATCTGTGACGTCATGTGTATTGCGAAAATTTTCAGCATTTTTGTTGTTTAAGTTTCCTATCCAGTTATTTTACAATCCATGATAACATTAACAACAATTGTCGCCTGAAGACGGACATTTAAAATGTCCGAAACGTTGCAAATTAAAATAAATTAACCTTTTGTATAAATCCTTGAGAAATAAAAATAAGTAATAAGTTATGAACAACAAAAGTGAAAGTTTTAGAAACAAGATACATTTATTAGACCTAGCTAACCAGGAACAGCTGCGAGATCTAATAAATGTAGAGTGGTTATTTAGCTAGATTGGTTTTGCTATTCTAAATAGGCTGTGCTTTATCCTTTCTGTCTGAATATTGTAAATATTCTATCTTCTGATGTTACTCTGAGTGTATATCCACACCGGCTAGGCTGAAAAGTTTACCTGACCACGGTGGGAATCGAACCCGCGACCTTTTGGATACTAGACCAATGCTCTGTCGGTTCGAGTGTGTGGTATTTCCGAACTAAGTCTGGTACCTCGGTACCAATGTGTTCTTATGATCATGATATTTTTTGTGTGTGTTTTGATGTTATGTTCTCAGGTGAATATAATGTTTCTGATGTTACTGTGAGTGTGTATTCTTTCTACATTATGTATTGTTATTGGCACCGATTAAATCTTGATTTTGTATCGTTTGGTGAGCATTAGCGTGCAGTCATTGGCAACGATGCTGACCAGACATTTTAATAGTGGAAATCGCAGTGTTTCAGACATGAAAATTCGAGCCCTCTGTCATTTCGGGTGGAAGAAAGCATGAAATCAGCTCACATTTCCAAGCTTGACACAGTCCACCCCTATGAAATAAATGAACGTTTTTCTTATGTTTACGTCTAGTGATGCAAGACTCAGATTCGCATTCCGTGTCTGGAACAGAGAGAAAATTAGATTGCTCGTCGACACTTCCTGATGAAATATTAGAGAAAATATTTTTTGAGCTTCCGCTTTATGATGTTATGAAACTGAGCTTGGTATGTAAGCGCTGGAATGTTGTGTCTCGTTCAAATTCGGTGTGGCAAAAATTTGTACCCAGGAACTGTGGAATACATTTGCCCAAGGCAGATACCCAGTATGGCGTGTTTCGAAAGCTTTGGATGAATAGTCTCCAAATCGGGACGGAGCGATGGTTTCCTAACCCGTTGCCGGATTTGGTGGATTACGACACTGCACTCCGAGAAGAGGAACGCGAGGAAAGTGGCGAAATGGTGGAATCAAAGTGTGTGCTTTATCTTCGTTTGAACCAAGAATATCCACTCACTACTGATGGGCTAAACAGAGACGACTCTGTTATGGTGGAAACGGTTCAAGCTATTTTCGATGAATTCGGACACGTGCAAGATTTGCAGGTCAACCCCTTGATACACGATGCAAAATCTGCCATGGAATGCTCTTGCTTCCCAGATAAGAAATTTGCAATGGGGCTGGTATTACACTGTCTTGAGTCACAACATTTCTTAGAATTCAAGAGAGATCCTGATAGAGACGATCCAGAGTTAGATGAAGAAGGATATCGAGTAAAGATGCAGGACGATCAGAAAATAAACCGTTTGGATGACAAACTGTTCAATCAAATAAGAACTATACTTGTTGGTAAAAATAATCGCCTTGTTTGTTATGATCTGAATGACGGCTGTTATGGTAATACTTTTACGTATGCAAGGCACTTGGTACTTAGTGACACGGCTGCAGTTTATTGTGTGGAATATTATGAAACCTTCTTTGACTAAGTTCTAAGACTTGTTATTTTTTGCTTTTAGTGCCAAATTACATCAATCGCCTGCGCCCATTTCTGCCCACAAGTCTATTTGCAATTTACCATTACAGTCGTGCCAATAGAAGCGTTCCGAAAAATGTTGACCAATTCATTTCCTAACTTGAAGGAACACCTCTGAACAATTCCTCAACAATTTGATA